AGTCGTCTTATACGCCGGCAAATACGGTATTCGGCGTCTGAATTACTGTGCAACTCATCCAGTGAAGTTTTCATTTTAGATATCCTGTTTTTAACTGTTGCTGCTGTTTGCTTTTTTTCTTTGTCTTTTCCATTTCTTTCCTCATTATGCCCTTGGTTTTCTCTAAATCTCAGTGCCACTTCCTAACAGCTGACTTGCTGTTTGTCTGCAGCTCCACAGTGGCTTCCTGACCCCATGTCACAGCCGAGCACCTGCCCACCTCCCGGCATAGCCCCAGTCCGCACGCCTGCTGGAGCTGGCCCACTGCAGTCTGACCCCTGCTCTGCTGCCTGTCTGCTGTCCCCACCTGCAGTGTTTCCCCTCTCCCTTGTCTGCACCTGCCATGCCCATCCGGCTCTGCCACCTGCTAGCTATGCGGCTACAGTCAGCACTTAATCCCCGTGCCTCAGTTTCTACTTTAGAGCGTGATGTCATGCTGTCCCCCTGAGCGGTGTTGGACTGGGTGACTGTGCACAGCCTCGGGTGACCACCATGGTGTTGTCCTGATTTTCAGGCCTTACCTCATGGCATACCCCCCAAGCTTTCCCTGAAGAAGTCAGCCCACACCAGCTTTCCCTCCTAAGTGAACCAGCTTCATGTGTGATGGGTGTCACAGTGTCGCCCATTTTGTCCTTATATGTCAATCAGTGTTAGGGTGGGCAAGTCCTTGTGTAGCCCTTAAATGAGAATGGTTTGTACATTTTTAAAGAGCTGTTAACAGACAAAACAAAACAGTACGTGACAGAGACTTGTGGCCCCAAGCCGAAGTATTCACCGGCTGGCCCTTTCCAGAACAAGCGTGCCGAGCCCTGACCACGCTGGCCCGGGCGGTGCTTTTTCTGACCTCAGTTTAACATTTACATGGCATGTAATTTCCAGCGTGCTGTAAATACTGACACTTAAAGTTAAAAGGATCGCATTACTCTTTCAAATGTTTCTGGTGGATATAGCCATGGTCCTGCTGTTTTAAAAAACATAAATGCCGCTTCAGTGGTTGGGAAATGCCCAGTGCTGCTCCCTATCCCTGCACAAAGGCTTTCATTCCACTCGTCCTGCAGAATTTTATCCAAATGTAAACATCTCCCTACTTAGGAGGGTTTTCTCACCCTGTCGTACTCTTCTGTAACTGCGTGTGTATTTATTTTAAAAGTTCCTTAACTGAAGACCTGTAGGTGTCAAGCACTTTCTTTTGGATGGTTGTTAGTTACTGTTTGTACCAGCTCTGGGCTCCTGGTTTTCTTCCTGAGCCAGCTCCCCCTCCTGTCCCGTCTCCCAGCCCTCTGAGGATCTCAAGGCTTCTGTCCTTGGACTTCCACAGCCGTGTCCCCGGGGGCCTCGCCCGCTCATGAAATCTGAACACGTCTGTACACAGAGCAGCTCCCAAACTCCTCTCACCCAGCCCGACCTCTCCCCACATTCCAGAATGATCTGTCAGCCGCCCATCAGTGCCTCCACTTGCATGTTGACGTGAAATCTGAGTCACGTTTCTGATGTTGAACCTCACGCAGTTATGCCCTCTGCAGCCTTTTTAATCTTCCAACGCTGCCCTTTTCACCAAAGGGTCAAAGATCCTGTGGTCCCTGCCTTCCCCACCTCATGCTGAACCTGTCAGCAGATCCTCCTGTTGCTCCCAGCAAAGCCTTTCCCCTTCAGCTGCTCCCACCCTGGTCCTCAGCAGCGTGCTGTCTCTCCTGCTCCCACTCAGTGGCTGCAAGGCCGAGCCTGTTACCTCTCTGGCCTCAGCTCCGACTCCCTGCCCGGCTTTCTGGCCTCTGCAGTGTTCCCTGGACGTCCCGCCCTCGGTGGCCTCACCCAGCTTCTCTTCCCTGGAGTCTTCATCGCCCTGATACCCTCCTTTTTCAAGCCTCATTTAAAATTGCACCCTCTCACCCCTGCTGCTCCCTTAGCTCTTCTCACCCCTCTCCCTCTTATCCCCTCTCTCCCTCCCTCTCGCTCACCCTCACCGAGTCTTACTTCCTTTTCATTCCTCAGATGGGCCTCTGACAGCCATCTCCCTTCCGAGTTCAGTCCCCAGTGCGTAGGTGAGGTGTGGAGCTGGCCACTTGGGCAGAAGAGGGCACCTCTTTGCTTCTCACGGGGGTGGGTGATGGGTTCTTTTACTGTCGTCTGGGAATGGAAGTTACTACATGAGATGTTGCTCTCCCTGCCCTGCGACTCCACAGTCTATCTGGATGCAAGGCAGGCCGACGTGAACCAGGATACTGCATTTATAAGGCCATGCTTTGCCCTGAACAGAAGTGATGTGTGATGGCGGAAAGCCCAACCCTGCCGCAATGCCTGGATTCAGGGGGGCTTCCCTGGACCAGCATCACACGGTCCTCTTGGCCTCTAGGATTTGTTCAGCGTGAGGCCGAGCGTCACAGTGAGAAGCCAGAGGAGGGGTCCTTCTTCTACGAGGGAAGGTGGCAGAGGACGGCTGGGGTGACTCCTTGACCTCGAGAGCTCCGTGGGCTGATGCATTTTAGGGTAGAGCCCTCTAGCAGTGGGGTCCCTAAAGCTCTTGGTGCCCACATAGTCCTGGACCGGTGTCTGCCTAGGGACACCCATAACCTGGCAGGAGACACCGGTGTGCAGTTCCTCTCCTTGTCACCCTGGGGGTGGCGACAGGCTGGTCCCCTGAGGGCTGGGTGGGTGCCAGGAGCTTCCCCTGCTGAGTTTCATTGTGGTGCCTGCACACCCAGTGGCCCAAGACGCAGGGTGTTTTCAGCCGCAGCCGCCATGGAGAGGGACAGCCTGTCCCAGACTGCATGTGGCGCACTGGGTTACAGACGCTCGAATGAGCCCGCTGGCTCCAGAGCTGGCAGGCCTCCTGCCCCACGCCCACCCCCCTGCCAAGTGCAAGCCTGGGAGCCAAACCCAGACGGTGGCCCGTGGGGACTCGAACGGGGCTCCCTGAGAAGGCAGTAGCCAGAGATGCTGTCAGGCCCGTCTCACTGGTCTGCTCCCACTGCTTTTTAAGTTGGACTGTGGGGCTTCTGGCAGAGTCAGTAATAAACAAGCACACTGGACCAGGCCCACAGCTGTGCTGCTGAGAAGAGGGAAAAAGAAACACTGGCTCAGAAGCACGTCGTTTTCCTGAAAGACGCTTGTTGCATGAGCTAGGCAGCCTGCTCTGTTCAGTGAGTTCAGAGATGATACAATTCTAATTATTAACTGAGAACGTGACTAGGCCAGAGGAATATGGTAAAATCAAAACCACACTAGGCCAAATGACAGTTTCTTTGGAACTGGTAGGCAGTAGAGGTGAGGCTGTGACCAGCGAGAGGGACAGACAACTAGCGAAAAGCTGCAGCGTGGCAGGAGGGGATGGCCACGCATGCGCAGCACATCAGCCATAACTGTGACAATTCAGAGGACCGTGTGGCGCACGGAGCCTGGCGTCCGGCTGCTGTGGGTGGTGATCAGTATCAGGATATGAGACCAGCGAGCGCAGAGCCCCGGGGAACACGCGGGTAGCAGTTCTTTTGTCTGGAGTTAAAATTTTTCCCAAAAAAAATACCTCTTGCAAAGATTCGATACAGCCAATCACTAATCCAGGTGTACTTATGATTACTAGAAACAGACATGGAAGTGGGGGAAGGCTCGAATAATGAAGCAGTCAGAAAAAATAAACCACCTCTGTGTAGTAATTCTAGAGCGAGTGAGCTGAGGGAAACATGAAATCATAAGATTACTAGGAGAAAATATAGAAATAAAATATTTCTGGAATCTTGGTTGGAAAAGACGTTTTTTAAGCATAATACCAAAGACGGAAACCATGAAGACTGGCTTCTTAAAAATTAAAGCTCGTTGATCAAAACAAGCAAACAGCAGGCTATTCAATGTTCATATATATAAAAAGCTGAGGGAAGCGGTAAGATGTGGTATTGCTGAGTTGTTTGTGCTGATAAATATTTTGGGGGAAGTTGAACTTTCATTTTAAATACAGTGCTAATTTTGTCAAATTGAAAAGTGTTGAGTAATTTAGTTCCTGGGGGACGGTTCCAGGCTCCAGGAGGTTCGTGCTGGAGCGCCCTCTGCTGGCGGCAGCACCTGCAGCGTTTACACCTGGGAGGGAGCCGGACTCACCTGCGGGGTGGGTGTGGAGGAGGCGAATTGGGAGAGGCAGAGAGGCCCTTGGCACAGTCAAGCGGGTTGGGACCGCGCTGTGGGGTCTGCAGACCTGGGCAGTGGCACGGCGGTGCCGCTCCCACCCTGGGCCTCCCGCTGCGAGCCCACCAGCCCCGTGCCGGAGGGCCTGCTCTGGCCCACAGGCTGCACCAAGCTGCAGGCTGACCCACAGCTGTTGACACGGCACACGAGCAAGGCCGCGACTGGGTCTGCCTGGTTCTCGGCTGTGTCCCCAGGGCCTGGAGCAGTGACTGGCAGAGGGTCCATCCCTGGTGAACTGTTGTTAAATGACTGGAAGCCATCCATCGGGTATAGCCGTCACCGCTACTCTGCCACCCGTGGAACTGACGTTCTCATGGGGAGATCGGCAGCAAACCGGTGACCAAGCAGCTGGAACAAGGGGTTCCTTGTCATGGGGACAAGTCATGGGACATGCGGGGTGCTGCAGTGCAGGATAGGTGGGGGGGAGGGGGCTGCTGAGGGCGTGTTCTGGGGGACTGAGGAAGAAAAAGGAGCTGGTCTCCCAGAAGGATGCCTGCGCCGTCCCTGGGGGCGCCTTCCCCGGGGGCGCGGACAGCAGGCAGCCTGTGTGGAGCCTCCGGCCCGCGCTAACCAGGCCAGGGCGGGGTTTGGTGACCTGACCAAGGCACCCGGTCCTAGTGTTAAACTCTCAGTTCTCTGAATTTGCCTGTGTCCTAACATAGTATTTGCTTTTGTTTCCTTTTTTTTTAATTTAAAGGATTTTTTGTTTTGTTTTGTGTTTTTTGATAGATGAGGGTTACTACCAGGGTGGAAAATTTCAGTTTGAAACTGAAGTTCCTGATGCCTACAACATGGTGGTGAGTAGCCTGCGCCTGAGCCCTTGTTCCACTTCGTGGGGCCTGCGCCGTCCCTCCCCCCCCCCCC